GAATTCTGACTTTAATCTCAGAATTCTGACTTTAATCTCAGAATTCTGACTTTTTTCTCAAAATTCTGACTTTTTCTCATATTGTACTGAAATAAAATTAAGAAATCAGTTAACCCTTTCTTTTTTTCCGTGGCCCCAATCCTCTTCGGTAATTTATAGATTTTAAAGTCAATATAAACAATTTAAATCTACGGGTAAATTTTCGAGCTGACATTATGGTCCTCTGCCATGTCAGTTTATTTTAATTCTGAACAACATAAGAGTGCCAACCGATTAAGAAATGTATATTTGACAAAAAAGATAAATAAAATAAAATTTTAATTCCAATAGACGGTGCAGAGGTAGACAGCGTCTAGTCTGTTTGAGCTTCAGTGAATTAGAAGTGAGTTTTCCCACTGACATTGAACGCCTCTACAGTCAGCACCCTGTGGGTCATGTGACGTCCTGTCATGTGATTCGGTCACTTCCTACTGGTTCGGTTCAGAGCCGATCCTCTCTGCTGTATCATGTCGTTTTAATTGAGCGCCACAGGCGGGATCCAGCTCGGTAAAGACATGTTTATCCAGGATATATCGACTCAACGCGGGCCTCTGAGGCTGGTTCTGTGGCTCTGCGTCGGTGTGGGGTGTCTGTTGGCTCGGTCCGGAGCAGAAAAGGACCGCAGCGGCAGCTTGTGGTACCAGGATCTCTGCAGGTAACAAAACACACCTCCTCCACTCACACTCACCAAAACTCATTAACCTGTCTCAGTTTGTTTCTAACTAAACGGCTGGGCTAACTAATTAAACCGGGTTATCTGTGTGTTAACTGACGCTAAACCGTTTTTTTCCCCCTAGCTAATGTTTTATCACGTTTGACGTGTATCTCCAGCTGAAAGCAGCTCGTTGTTCAGCCGTTACGGAACCAAGTTTTGAGCGGTACCGCTCGCCGTCTGTCAAGCTAGAGACCAACGGTTCTGATCCGGTTCTGACCGCCTCCCCAGCTGACCCAGTTGACGCGTATGCTAGCAGAGATAGGATGGGAAGAAGCGCTGCCTGACAGGACCAGCTGGAGCGCATTTAACCTCTGTGTTTTAAAGAGCTATCGATCGGTTCGGCTGCATTCAGCTAGCTTATAGCATTTATAGGAGTTTATAAAGAGAAAAACTGAACTCAAGTTCCTTAAAGTCGGAGGGAAGTCGGATTTAAATGTCAAATCATTCTGGCTTAAACATGTATATAAATGTACTCTTTATCAGACCATATAGTTAGAAAATTTCTATTTAATAAAAAAAAATTTTTTTTTCGTTATTTTATTCAGGCCAGTTAGTTATACGTCAGCTTGTACACCTAAATTCGGCCAATCATATATCAACGCTCATCTGTCAATCAAATTATTTCGGTCATAGCATCTTGATTCATATGTTGCAGCTTATGCAACTAGGGATGCACGATATAATCGGCCCC